CATCCCTCCCCAGCACCCATCCTCCTCCTTCTGAGTCTCCAAAGTCTTTTAAGCCATTCTTTATGCCTTTGCAGATCCTTAGCTTAGCTCCCACTTATAAATGAGAACATTTGGTATTTGGTTTTCTGTTCCTGCGTTAAATCTTTTCTTTTATGATATAAACTTTTTGGATTGTTGAAGGCCTTCCAACCCCAAGATTTTAAAGCTTTTTTTCCTATTTTTATTCCAAAAGCTTTAAAGTTTTCTTTATCACATTTAGCTGTTAAATCCAATTCCCTGACATCTAATTTATGAGTACGGTGTGAGGTAGGGATCTATATTATATCTATTTTTTTCTGTATAGGTAACTATTCTTCTCAGCCTCATTTATTGAATAGTCCATCCTTTTCCTACTGACTTATAATGCCATCTCTGTTATTTAGTAAGTCTCCAAATATAGATTGTTCTGTTTTGGGGGTCTCAATTCCCTAGCACCATCCATTTTTATATCTCTGTATCAATACTAGACGGTTTTTAGCCTTATAATATATCCTAATATATTATAATAAATTTCCCACCTTAGTCCTTAATTTATCTTGACAGACTTTACTTTTCCATATGAATCTTAGGATTACTTTGTCAAGTTCTATTTTTAAAAGAGTGTTAATGAAATTACATTGAATGTATAGGTTAATTTGGGAAGGATTGATCTCTCTACAATATTCAGAGTTTCATCCATGAAAATGGCACATCTCTCCACTTATCTAAGTGTTCTTTTATGCTTTCTAACAGTTTCATAATTTTTTATGTATCTTTTATCACATTTATTCCTAGATTTCTTATAGTTTTATTATAATTATAAGGTTAACTTTTGAAAACTACTTTCTACAATTGATTGTTGATGGTGACTAGGAACACTATTTTGTATATTGAACCTACACTCACTAACACTGTTGAACTCTCTTATTAGTTCTAATAGCCTCTCCGTAGATTTTCTTGGATTATCTGTATAGACAACAACATAATCCAGAAAATAATGTCAGATCTATTTCTTTCCTTCTTCTTCTATTTCTTCTTTACAACTCTCTACACTACATTCTGGCCAACCTCCTTAGAACTAAATTAACATTCATTTAATTATCTCCCTATTTGTATTAATGTGCTATTTGATTTGTACATTGGGATTTTAGTCTCGATGGCTATATTTTTAATTTCTAGAGATTTTATTTAGTTCTTTTTCAAAGCTGTCTTAGTCTTATGTTTTTAATCCCTTCTTTTATGTCTTCAGTTATTATAAACATTTATATAATCTCTATCCAACAGTTCTATCCTGTGACATTTTAAGAGGGTAAGCCTGATTGTCTGTATGTGTGTGTATATATGTGTGTATCTGCTGACTCTTGCTCATGGTAGGATATTTCCTTGTGTGTTTTGAAATTTGACAAATTCTTCTTGGCTTGGACTAAAGGCATGTCCTTCTAGACAAGTTGGGTGTCTGTTAGAGGCTCCAAGATCTCACTCCAGCATCACTTTATGTGTTAATTTTTTAGGCACAGACTCCAGGACTACTCAGGTATACATTTAAACCCTACACTTGTATAAGGCCAAATTCATAGTCATGAACTTCCAGGGGTTACATTTTCCCCCTTTCCAGCCCTGGCTAAGACAGGGCTTTCTTATCATTTTCCAGTGTCAATGTGTAGGCTTTTTCTGGTATGGTACTTTACTGAATGTATGGTCATATTCTTATGGTCAGTTCCAACTCCTACTCAAACTGTCCCAAGGATGAGTGTCATGTCTTTACATACTTGTTAAAATCTAAGCTTTCGCCGGGCTCAGTGGCTCAGCCTGTAATCCTGCGCCTTTGGGAGGCTGAGGTGAGTGGATTGCCTAAGCCTGCGGGTTCGAGACCCGCCTGGGCAGGCGAGACCTCATCTCTACAATAAAATCAAAAAATTAGCCAGGCGTGGTAGCGCGCGCCTGTAATTCCGGCTGCTCAGAAGGCTGAGGTGGAAGGATTGCTGGAGCCCAGCAGGTCAAGGCTGCGGTGGCCGGGAGCGGCCACTGCACTCCAGTCTGGGTGACAGAGTGAGACTCCAACTCAAAAAAAAAACCAAAAAACAAAAAACTAAGCCTTCAGATTACCCAAATTAGTTCCTCCCACTCCACCCAGGGAAACTACAGAACCATTTCATAATTCACAGCTATGGTTTTTAAGACGCTCTTTGTTTTTGGCACTTAAGAGATTCTGTTATAGCAGCCCCCCACCCACCCATGAGGGATATGTCCCAAGACCTCCAAAGGATGCCCCAAACTGGATAGTATTAAACTGTACATAGACTATGCTTTTTCCTACACATACATAGCTATGATAACATTTGATTTATAAATTAGGCACAGTAAGAGATTAACAACTTCTCTTTGGCATACATTTGGCTTCTCTTTGGCATATCCGAATTGTCAGCATCACTACTCTTGTGTTTTGGGGTCATAAATAAGTGAAACAGGGGTGACTTGGACATAAGCACTGTGATACCACAACAGTTGATCTGATAACAGAGATGGGTACTAAGTGTCTAATGGGTGGGTAGCGTACATAGTGTGAATGTGCTGGACAAAGAGATAACTCATGTTCCCTGGCAAGATGGAACATGATACTCAGAACGGCATACAATTTAAAGTATATGAATTGCTTACTTCTGGAATTTTCCATTTAGTATTTTCAGACCATAGGTAACTAACACTTCAGAAAGTGAAACCACGGATGGGGGACTATTGCACTTTCTCATGTGCTGAGCTACACACTTCAAAGAATATTTGCCATGTTTTAAACTGTTTTATAATAGAAGACTTTGCAGGTTTTCCCATCCATAATGCTGCTGGGAAGAGAAGTTTCATTTGCCATTTAACTTTGCTTATGTGTTGAGCTAAAAAAGTTAGTCAAATCTATCAATCTTCTTTTTTATGAAATCTGTCTTTGGAGACATGCTTAGAAAGTCTTTTCCCATACCAAGATTATTTACCCATGCCTATTTTTGTGTTTTTTGTCTCTTTACTTTAATATTTAAACCACCTAGAATATATTAAACGCAAGAAAATCAAAACCTTACATACTAGCAATAAAGCTATCCAAATAGAACAAAATACAGCTATAATCCAACAACATTGCCTATTATTAATAACAGAACCTCAAGTTTAATATAATTGCAGTTCAACCACAACTTGCTGGTCCAGTGAAGCCACCAGTGCTCTTCACCACACCTAACTTGTTGCTCAGTCCAACTCAATGGTACAACAAAACTACACTCAACTAAAACCCTATATAATTGCCATCTGAAGACCACCCAACATGCCCAACAGTGCCATGAGCTGCCTATAGACTGCAATATAGCCTTCCCTTTTGATTGCATATAGAAGAAAGAAAGGTAAAATGGTAGCCAACGAACTCAAATTAGTGAAAAAATTTGAATACACATGTCAGAGAACAATCTAGAGTCCTGGGTCTAGAAAGTACGCTGGGCTCGGTGGCTCAGCCTGTAATCCTGCACTTTGGGAGGCTGAGGTGAGTGGATTGCCTGATCCCGCGGGTTCGAGACCCGCCTGGGCAACTTGGTGAGACCTCATCTCTACAATAAATCAAAAAATTAGCCGGCTGTGGTAGCGCACGCCTGTAGTTCCAGCTACTTGGAAGGCTGAGGCAGAGGGATCGCCAGAGCCCAGCAGGTCGAGGCTGCAGTGGCTGGGAGTGGCCACTGCACTCCAGTCTGGGTGACAGAGTGAGACTCCAACTCAAAAAAAAAACAACAAACAAAAAAAAGAAAGTAGTAAGAGGAGAGAATTCTCATACTCCAAAGTGTGAAAGGCCTACCTGCCTTTGAGGCCACATGAGCAGTTGGGCCTAAGACAGGGCTGGGTCTGCAGCAAGGGAGAGCTTAGACCAAATGGCCAGTAGTCTCCCTCCTCCATCCAACCTCAGTGATAATTCTAGGAGTTCCTATTTGAGGCCAGTGGGCTCTTTCCAGCCCTGTCCTAGAATCCCCTGGGGAAAGGCTCACTCTGTTTACCTGGACCAAGACAATATGATTCTGTTTCTGGGAGTCAGAAGACAGTGGCTACATGCCCAGCTCTGCCTCCACTACGTCAGCTCTCCTGTCTCTGTTCCTTAGTTTCCCCATCTGTATATCAAAGAGGCAGGACTTGATTTGGTATCAAGAAAAAAAGTCAGAATTAGAACCCAGACATTTTGACCTCCAGGAAAAGTCTCTTTAATAACAAAACAACAGTAGTAGCACAGCTATCACTTATTTTGAATGCTTACTGTTTATCAAACTCTGAGCCAAGCATATTACACACATTATCTTATTCAAGCCTCATTAGCTTCCTATGAGGATGCTATTGTCATACTAATTTTACATTTATTAAATTCAACAAATACTTATTGTGCCAATTACTGAGACTAAGTAAATATTGCTTGAGATCACATAGTTAGTAAGAACTGAGTCAGAATTCAAATCTGACTCTGCCTGATTTACTTATTATCCATCCATCCATCCATCCATCCATCCATCCATCCACCCATCCATCCATCCATCCATCTATCCTCCTTCCCTCCTGCCTTCTATCCAACCATCCACCCAACCTTTCCCCATGCAACATCACTGATGCTCATCAATGCAAGCTCCGTCCATACGCACTCTTCTCCATCTACAAATTGAAAAAAAATCTCATATCTCCATCCATTTCAGGTTTACCCCAACTCACTTTTGTTTCTAGCCTCTGGGACTCTGCATAAAGCTTTAACCCCAACCTCACACTCCAAATCTACATCTCTCAGCTCTTTAGACACAACCCTGACACTCCCTCCCTCCTCCAAGGTGTCTTCCACGATGACTCATACCCTCAAAAGATCCTTTTGTATTCAGGATCCCTTCCCTCTTACTGATGGAGGCTTGCCAGTTGGCCAGGAACCCCTCACACCAGGATGCTTGTTTGAGAGTCAGCTGCAGGTGGCTCTTACTTACCAGGTTTCCGACATGCAACATCTCCTCAAACTCAATTGTCATGTTGTAGTGCTCCAGCGCCATGAAGAGTGTGTTAAGCACGATGCACATGGTGATAGTGAGGTCTGCGAATGGGTCCATGACCACAAACTTCACTTTCTGCTTGATGGACATCCACAATGGGCAGCACTCCCAGATTAGGTAGCGCTGGGCAAAGTGGTTCCAACACGGTGGACACTTGCGGTGAGACTCTTCCAACTCTGGGGGGACAGCCAGTGAGTTAGTTTGCTTTTGTTGACCGAGTCCTATCTATCTGGTGGCATTGCAGGAAAAATTCATCACTTACTCAGGAGATGACAGGGCTGCTTTATGACAGTAGGAGAGTGAGTGGGTGGGGAAGGCTAACAGAATGGGTGGCCTGTGTCCTGGCTCCTTACTCCAGAAATATGAGAGAAGAGGGCCACAGGGACTGAAGACCAAGATGCATGTGGGGAAAATTGGGACAGGACAGATTAAGATAAATGTATGCTTGCTTGAGACAATAGTCCCACATACACGTGGGAATGCTCAGGGAAGAACAGGTTGAGAATGATGAGAAAATAATGGGGACAGGTAAGTTCAGACATAAGGACACTGAGGATATAGCAGGTAAGAACAGATGTGGCCAGGCGTAGTGGCTCACGCCCATAATCCTAGCACTTTGAGAGGCAGAGGAGAGAGGACTGCCTGAGCCCAGGGGTTCGAGACCAGCCCGGGCAACCTGGCAAGACCTTGTCTCTATAGTTAATTAAAAAATTAGCCAGGTGTGGTGGTGCACACCTGCAGTTTCAGCTTCATGGAAGGCTGAGGCAGAAAGATTGCCTGAGCCCAGCGGGTCAAGCCTGCATGGCTATGATTGTGCCACTGCACTCCAGCCTAGTCAACAGAGTGTAACTCCAACTAAAAAAAAAAAAAAAAAAAGAACAGATGTGGATGTCTGGGACATGTCAGGACAAATGGAAAGGGGTGTTGCAAGGGACAGGCCAGAAAAGACGGGACAGGAGGGAAAGAGATGGGGGCTGCCAAGTTCGTACTGAAAGTGACATGGGGTTGCCTAGAATGGAACTGGCTGGGAGAGATGTGGGATACCTGGGATAGTCTGAGGTAGACATGGGAATGGCTAGGAACAGCCTAGCACAGGCATTAGGACAGGATGGTCCTAGCCAGATATGGCTACAATTGGGAAAGGACGGAATGAGACTGATAAGAGCCTGGGACAAGCCAGAACAGATGCAGGGTGTTTGGAAGAAACACAGACATGGAGTTGCCCAGGAAAGAACAAGCTGAAACAGATGAAAAGATACCTAAGGACAGGCAAGGATGGAAAAGGCTACATAGGATGGAAAAGTCTGAGGCAGCTGTGGGGATGTCCAAGACAGGCCAAGACAGACGGGGTAACTAACTGAGGCTGGGATAAAGGGGAGGATGCCAAGAGCAAACATGGGGAGGGTTTGAATGACACAGGGGTGCTGACCTTCCAGTGCACTGGTGAGGACACTGACCGCGCTGAGGGCCCGCTGCCGTGCTCCCGGCTCCTCGAAGCCATCTACACATGGAACCTGGGGGGTCAACACTGGGGGCCCACCAGGTTCCTCCGACGGCGTGGTCTGGGTGTGAGAGATACATGTCAGCCTGGGGATGGGGGTCTTGCCCCAGCCCCAGTCCTGCTGGACTTGGGGCAGCCGGCTCAGACTCAGGCTGGAGAGGTCACAGGGGACAGAACGGAGGTCTTGATGGGACACTGGATGCTGGATTTCTCTGTTCCCAACTCCCTCCCAGTTGACAATGCCACCTCTCCACCCCTCCTGCCAATCACTATCTCCTTCATTCTCTTTTCTTCTTCACCATCTCTCAGAAGCAGTGATTCCTGAATGTGGACAGGAAACGACAAGTATCACAGGTCCTTCCTGAGCCACATGTGGTCATGCACATTGGTACATGCAAAAATGATCTGGGAGTCTTAATTGACCACAAGCTCCCTAGAGTCAAGAGCATAAAGAAGCTTAAAAAATAAAAAAAGAACATGCTCTGAGATGATGAGATGACGATAAGAGAAGGTAAAGCACAATGCTTAGATGCGGCTGGTGGGCGGCCGTGTCTTCTGTGGAGGCGGTTTGGCTGGGTCTACCAAGAACATTTTAAAATGGTCCTCCAATTTCTCCTCTAATAATCTAACGTCATAAATAATTATACACATGCATCAAAAATACATATAAGTGACGTTCATGGCAGCTCTGTTCCTAATACCATAAGAACAAAACAATCAATAGGAAGAATATTAAAATCAATTATAGATACAGTCCAACTCTGGACTCTGATCCAGGCAACAAAGAGAACGTGGCAGCTCTGTGCGTGACTCCCATGGGAGAGTCTCTAAGGCAAACGGTTTGATGAAAAAATAAGGAAAAGGTCTGGAAGACACATACCGAATCTTATAGTGGACACATCTGGGGAATGATTTGGGGGGAGGGGAACAAAAGGGGGAAATTTCCTTTTCACTTTTGCACTGCTGGGTTTGTCTTCAACATGCATGCACTCTTTTTGTAAATAAAAGAACCAGGCCTGAAAGCAGAGATGCAGGGTGCCCCGAGGAAGGGAGGTGGCAGGAAGGCATTCCCTATGCTAACTTAGAGTCTCCCACAGAATTAAGGAAGGCCCATGGAGCCTTCACATTAATGGGGCCCCGCGTGACCCACAGCCCACGTGCTAAGCTGAGGCTGCTGAAGGAGAGGCCTGTTCAGCATGCCACAGCAAAGCTCTATCATCTCAGTAGGGTAGATATTATAATCCATAATCTCTGTGGGGCAGAGGTGGGCCTAGGCTACCCAATGTGGCAAAACCAGAGCCTGGGGTGCATAATAAAAAGATCAGGGCTCAACTTAAGTCTCATTGGTGGGGCCGTTCCGAAATGTTGCCTCGGGAGGTAGTGAGCTCCCAGTCATAGAAGTATTCAAGCAGAGGCATCTGACAGGCCTCAGGTGGCTGGTGCAACAGTACTACCCCAGTTCCAATGAAACCCTTAATTTGATCAGCTTAACTCACAAGCATGTCTTAAATTCTCCCGACTTCTCTCCTTCTCTTTCTGGACCACCTATGATTGTTTGGTTATCATTTAGCAAATATTTACTCTCTTTCTTCTCCCACTATGGTTGAAGTAAACTTTCATGCTCCAGTGATGAACAACTTGCTTTGGCCAATATGAATGTGAGTGGACATGATGTGAACAGAAGCCTCGATGGGCTAGGACTATTTGCCTTGCTCTTGTATTCCAGGAATCCCCCAGGGAAAAAAGCTTCCCCAGGTTGCTGCCACCCTTTCAGCCTGGGTCTCAGAATACAGACGTATGGAGCAGCCCTGGGCCTAACCCATGGCATGGAGCCAAGCCTAGCCAATGAATTTTCTGAAGCAGAGCTGCCCAGCCAAGCCCAACCTAGATTGGCCAAATTGTAGACCACCTGCACAAAAGCGAGCATGGGAATAAAGGCTTTTTGCTAGCTATTAACTTTTGGGGTAGTCTGTTACACAGCATTATTGTGGCAATAGCTGACTGATACACTATCCTAGTGCAGGTTACTATCATCTCTTTCCTAAAACTACTGTGACAGTGTCTTAACTGGCCTTTTTTCTTTTTCCGTCCTCTCTAGTCACTACATAGTAGAAAGAGATTTCCTTAAAAAGTCAATCAGATTATGTCAGTCCTCTGTTCAACAACTGCCCCCAACTCATGGGTCCCCATCTTATTCAGAGTATATTCAAACCTTTCTATTGCCTACAAGACCCTGCACAGTCCAAATCCTAACTCACTCAACTCATTTTAACCTGTCCACCACTCCTGGCCTTGCCAGCACCACTCACCCCTTGAATATGTCAAGCCCACTTCTCCTCGGAGACTTTGCACATGCTATTCCCTCTGCCTGGGATGCTATTTTTCTGCATCTTTGTGCCTAGCTCCCTAGAATAACTTGCCTGCCAATTTTAATATCACCTCCTTGGGGAGGCCTTCTTCCAGTATTCTAATGGCCCTCATCCCTATCCTTCCCCTTAGCAACTTTCTGACACATGAAAATACCTATCAGTCTACTGTCTGTTTTGCTGGCTACAATGTCAACTCCAAGCAGGCAAAGGTCATCTCTGATTTATTCATGGCTCTAACCCTGGAACCTCAAATACTGCCTGGCACTCAACACAGAAAGCTGGCACTAGATACATATTGGTTTGAGGAATAAATACTTGGGGATCAATCAGGAGGCTTGGGTTAGAGTCCCAGCTCTGCTCCTAACTTGCTAGGTGACCTAGGGAAAATGAGAATGAAGATTTAACATGTGGAGGATAAAAAAGAATGGCTATTCAGACCAGGCGCTCTCATACAGGCGGAGTTCAAAGTAAATATTCAGGCCTTGCCTCCAATCTGGATAAATTAAGTGTGCACTGTCTGTCGGGCTGGTCCTTTCTCCTCCCCCCAGCATTGACTGGGTACCTAGTGCCTGACGCTGTGTTTCGTTTTTAGACTAGAACTGGGCAGAAATGTCTCACTGGGGACCCAGTGAAAGCAAAAAAGTCATTCCTAGGGGCCTGTAGCCCGCTAATCTCTTTGACTTTTCAAATGTCTCCATCTTGGTTCATTAATTCCTTTAACTTTGCAAATGACCCTGACTTGGCCTGCTAATATCTTTAACGTTACAAATAGGCCCCACAGAAGTGAGAATGGGTGAAGCCAGAGTTCCTGGTAATGAAGTACTTGAACTTGGATGCCTCCTGACATGTGCAGTACAATGAGATGATTTTCTACCTAATGAGATTAGGAAATTCTATTAGTGCTCCTGGCTGCTGACTTGATTCCATGAGGCTGAGGTTCCAGGACTGGACTTGCCTGCTTCAAAGTTCCTGGAAGCCAGACACCCCAGCCTCCAGGTGACAGCGGGGCTTCCCCAGCTCTACCTAGAAGCTGTGGTCTGCCCGCCATGGGTACCCAGTTTCCTTTCCTTCACATCTTGCTCCAGAAGAGAGTGAGGACCCCAGGAATCTTCACTCCTTTCTGCTTACTAATACCAATAATAAATAATAATAATGACTTGAACATGAGGTAAATGCTAGTCTAAATGCCAGGCACTTAGTTCTTACCACAACCTACTGATTAATTTTATTTCCACTTTACAGATGAGAAAATTGAGGCACAAAGATATTCATTAACCTGTACAAAATCCCACAGCTCAAGCAAGAGTCTGAACTGGAACAGAAGAGGCCACTTGGCTACGAGTCCTCCATCTTCAGGCCCCTCTCCAGCTCCCAGTCAAGTCCCCCATCATTCCTGGCTTTCTCAGAGAGTCTGCCCTCCTCTGTCATCCCATAGGCCTCAGGGGCTGAACTATATGTTCAACTTTTTCCTGGGTGGGCTGCTCTGGGTAGTGTTGGGGAACAGGGGTCGGTAAGGACACTTGATGGCTGATTGGGCAGCCATCAGTCTGTCTATTGATCGACTGCGTAACTATAGTTCTGGCATAATCTAGCTTCCCATCACCTTTGTGACAATAACTCCAGCTTCTCTCCCTTTTGCTCCTCTGTTCCAGCCCCACTGACCTCATGGCATTTCCTCCAACAGGCTAGGCAGGCTTTTGTTTTTGTTTTTGAGTCAGGGTCTCACTCTGTCACTCAGGCTAGAGTACAGTGGCACAGTCATGGTACACTGCAGCCTTGACCTCCTGGGCTCAGGGCGATCCTTCTGCCTTAACCTCCTGAGTAGCTGGGACTATAGGTGCATGCCATCATGCCCGGCTAATTTTTTAAATTTATTTTTGTATTGACAAGGTCTCGCTATGCTGCCTAGGCTGGTCTCAAACTCCTGGACTCAAGCAATCCTCCCACTTCGGCCTCCCAAATTGCTAGGATTACAGATGTGAGCCAAAGCACCTGGCCTAGGCAGGCTTTTGACTCAGGACCTTTAGATCTGCTGATCTGGATACCTGGAACATGCGTCTCCAGGTGTATCGTTATGATGTTATAACAACATCAATACACTCATGAATGTCTCGAGTGCTTTCCCCATATTAGCCCACGTAATCCTCACAACAATCTCGAGATGGGTTTTTTAACCTTTTTTACAGATGAGAGGCTTGAGGCACAGAGAAAGTAAAGTAACTTGCTCACAGTCCTCCAGCTAATGAGCTCTGAGATGGGATTCAAACCCGCAGCATCCCCAGAGTCTGGGTGCCAGCCACTCTTCATACCACCTTTCCTCGTTTCAGAAAGCAGCCTAGTGCCCACCCTTACCTCCTTCTGCTCTTTGGTTAATGTCTCCTGATGAGTGGGGGTTCCTTCTCCGCTTTCCTTCCACACCCAACACCTATCAGTTGAACTGATGTTATCAGTTGGAGTCTACGGTGATACCACCCTGAACGCAACTGATCTTGTTTGATCTCAGAAGCTAAGCAGGGTTGGACCTGATTAGTATTTGGATGAGAGTTACCAGCTGGTAAAATATTGGAATAATTCAAACTTGGTGAATAACTATTGCCCAGAACTCCTTCACTAACCCCTTGTCACTCCAGCCCTTCTCCCGGGACTCCCTAGACGGCTTACCCGTGATCCAGTAATTCCAAAGGGCATGGCACTGGGACACTGGTCCTGTGCCACCATCACATCTAGGTCCCTATGCCTTACCAGTTGTGAAATATTTAACTGTCATCCCCTTTAATCACCATTACACATCATTTATTCATATAGACACACTTTTTCTTTGACTTTTGTCTGTCTGCCCCCATTAGCATGGAAGCTCTATGAGGGCAGAGAGTTTTGTGGAGTTTTCCACCTCAGAGCCCAGCACACAATAGGGGCTCAACAAATATCTGGCGAGTAGTTTTGGACCTGGCACTGGTGACCAGTTGGGAGACCAGATCTGCCCTAGCACCTGCATCTTGGGGCTGGCTCACCGTGTCTGGGGGATGCTCCAGCATCACAGGATGGAGGAGGTGACTCCCTGGGGATGTGGTCTCGGGGTCACCTGCCCCCAGCAAGGAGACCACCCCATTGCAGTCCACAGTACTGTTCCTTTTGCCATTGAGGATGAAGCCAGGAGCCGAGGTCCCAGGACTGGGCTGTCCCGGGGCACTGGTCCGGCGCAGGGTCCAGGGCACCAGCAGTGATGTGCGGTGGCTCTCGCTGTCCCCAGCTGTGCTATTTTCATCATCTGCAAAATCCGTCTCAGAACCCAGGTCTCGCCGGCGAAAGGTAAAAATGCTCCCGCGACTGGAGCGTGGCTTCACAGAAGTCCTGCTGAGGCCGTGAGAGAGACTGAGATGATTCTGAGGACACAGGGAGAGGGGACATGACCACGATAGCTCTCTTTATATAACCCCAGCCTCTCTCCTGTGGCAACAGTCCTAGCTCAACTTCTTGGAGCATGTGGGCTTTGCTGTCTACACAGGAACTGGGTGGGCTGATCCAGAGGGCATTTAGATGGGGGAGTGGGTAAGAGGTAATCCTGTATCTTCTGGGATCTCTAGTCTATGCCTCTGGGGATTTGGGCCTGAGGCTTATCTGGGTCTGAAGGTAGAGCTGAGGCTGGGCAAGGGAGAAGAATGCAGACAGGCTGAGCCCAAGAAGGATCTGGGGCACTCAGCCATGCCCCTCACTCTTCTGGCCATGTCCTTGGGCTCCTACCAAACCAAAGCAGTGTTGGGGGACTAGCCCTCGGTTGGGGATATCATAACACCCACACCTACCCTGTCCCTCTACTCAGGGCTCCTCTGCTCCAAAAACGGGCATGAGAAACAGGAAGGGCTGGGAAGGGGCATGAGACTGCTCTTCCTGGGGAGTGCCCATGGGGACCGTGACTATAGAGGGGCCTAGCATGATGGGCTTTCAATGCCAGACCCACCCTGCAAGGGCCAGAACCACGGCTGGTGATTACCATTGCTTGAGGACCATCTTCTGAGTCAGATTTGGGGAATCTGTCCTCTCCACACTCCTCTGTCCCCGAAGACAATCGTTTTTTCCTCTTGCTCTTTTGCTCCTGGTTGGTTACTGGGGCCAAAGGGGACATCTCCAAGGAGCTACGGGACACAGTATCCACGCCCTGGATGGCGAGGGCCTGCAAAAGGGTGGAGGAAAAGCTGTCTTGGACATTAGGACTTTGTGCAACCTCAGGCTTGGGCAGGCCAGGGAACTCTCAGTGACTTGGTTTTCCCCAGCAGTAAGTGGATTGGCACAAGCATCAAAAGGAGGGCACCATGGAGATAAGCTCAGACAGACCCAGAATGTTTTGAGAAAGGTCAAGATCCAGGTAGGAGGAGTGGCTTAAGTGGGAAGCCCGTGGAAGAGGGAGCATATGGGACAGGTGGAAGGCAGGTATGGATGAGCAGAGGAAGTGGCAGAACTGGAAGGCAGGAGGTCTTATAGAAGGATCTCCTGGTTAAGAGTATATTAGAGGAGGAGGCGTGGGCCAGTGAGAACAAGTGGATGCCCATAGCCTGGCTTCTAATAGCTTGCTCTGGTGTCAGCCTTCAGTTGACAGTCACCATGTAGGGGACTGTGGGTAGCTAGGACAGCATTGCCAGTGCTTGTTTTCTGAGCTGGCTCAGGCCTCCGACTTTGGACTTTCCTTGCTATCCCACAAGAAGGCATCACTTGACCAGAATAAACTATGACCATGGACATGTGCATCTCTTTTACCTAGCATGCACTATGCTCACAGGGACCACCTTTACCCAGGAAATACCACCTTTACCCAGAATGTACCATTTTTACCCAGCTGGCACCACCTTCACCTGAAACACATAATGACTATAAGGAACACCACACTCACAGAGCCCATCTTACCCAGCAAGCGTCACCTTTATCTAGCAGGCACCTCACTAACAGACACAGTCTTTACCCAGCAGGTTCCAAATTTTTACTCAGCAGATACCACATTCACCATCTTTACCAGCAGGCACTGCCTTTTACCCAGTATTCACCATGCCCACAGGCACCAGCTTGACCCAGCATGCACCATGCCTACAGGCACCGGCTTTACCCAGCATGCACCATGCCTACAGGCACTGGTTTTACCCGGGATGCACTATGCCTGTAGGCGCTGGCTTTACCCAGCATGCACCATGCCTGCAGGCATTGGCTTTATCCAGCATGCACCACACCTACAGGGCCAGCTTTACCCAGAATACATCACACCTTCAGCTGCCAACTTTACTCAGGATACACCACACCTACAGGTGCTAGCTTTACTCAGTGTGCACCACACCTAAAACCACCCACAGTCAGGCAAGGGCTTGATTTGGAGGCTCCTTGGTGGCACTGCTTACCCACCTCATGCTCTTTCTTGAGCATCTCCATGGCCTCTTGGAAGCGCTTTTCCTTTTCCTCAGTTTCAGCGATGGTGGCTTGGTTTTGCTCCTCATAGGCCATGGCGACCACAGCCAAGATCAGGTTCACCAGGTAGAAGGAGCCCAGGAAGATCACAAGCATGAAGAAGATCATGTAGATTTTCCCTGCAGACCTTAGGGTCTGGGGGGAAAAAGGGGGCAGAAGTCATCCTCACTGGGGCCCTTTCTGGGTTATGGCATTTCCAAATCACCCAGTCTAGCTGTGTCAGGGGTTCAAATAGCCACAGCCTGGGGAGAGGAGTACAGCATGTCCCACTTATCTAGAGGGACACATGCTAACCTACAGAGAATTAACTACACATGGGGGGATGGTGTCCCACCCCTGGAGGGAAGCAGAATGCCCCACTCAACTGGTGGGATGTTGTGATCACAGAGGGAGAAACTTCTATCCTATAGGGTGGAGGAATGTCCCACTCACAGAGCAGAGGGATTAGTTAATATCAAGGGATTAGTTTCTAGTCACCAGCAAAAAGAAAGTTTCTTTGCTTGCTAAACCCTTCTCTCTCAGATGCAAGATTCCTTGTTCCTTGTCCCCTCCAAAGTTCTCGCCACTGAGGATTCTGCTGGGGCCACTTCTGGCTAGTCATTTGTGCAGCCTGGACCCTGAACCCATACCTGCTGTCCCTTCGTGGGCACCCACGCACCTGCTGGTAGAGGCGCTCCCAGCAGTCCTGTGTCATGAGGCGGAAGAGCGCGAGGAAGGCCCAGGCGAAGGAGTCGAAGCTAGTGTAGCCATGGTCAGGGTTCTGGCCAGCCTTTAGGCAACGGTAACCCTCGGGACATGTCCTGTGACCAGACACAGACTCTGTACCATGCTGTAAGGGGTGCTCTGCCCTTGAGACCCTCGCTGGGCCTGACTCATTTCCCTGGGCAACCCAGCATATGCCCCACTGCTCTATGAGACTGAACCTCACAAATGTAGGGCCACGCAGCTGGGTCCTGCTCCATGATTTTGCTCATGCTGTGCCTCCCACCTGGGACACCATCTTCCTCTATTCTCTACTTATCTGTATTCTGCTATGCCTAAATCAAGCTCCCTCCCGCCCACATGACACACTGTCCCCAGCCGCTGTCTGAGTTGCTTCTCCCCACAGAGAGGAAGCGCCAGGCCCTGGTTCACATCTCTTCCTCTGCCTGTCGACTCCATGGGGAACTGAGTACAGTGCAAGCACCTGGTGAGGTAGCAGGAGGGGTGTGAGGCTTGGCTGAGCTGAACGGGATGAGCCCAGGTAGAGGATGACTCTGGGGGGTGGAAGGAAAGCTGGGGCCTGACTATGTCAGGAGCCCATTTGCAGGTCCACATACACAGGTAGTGGTTCAGTGAGGTAGATCCACAGTCCACAGAGGTGACAGCCTCTCTCCCAGAGATGGAGGGCTGGGCTGGGCTAGATTCGTGTGTGTGTGTGTGTGTGTGTGTGTGTGTGTGTGAGAGAGAGAGAGAGAGAGAGAGAGAGAGAGAGAGACTCAGCAAGTGAAAGGATGCAACCAAGGGACTTCTGTGCCTTGTGAATGTCCCGAGGCCCTCATGACAATCTCTTTAGTGACAAGGAGGAGGAAACAAACTTGGGTTCTGGACCTTTACACTCAGAGCTGTGGAAACATAACCCCAGAGCACTTACTCCACAAGGTAAGCCTGTGCCCCCTTCCCCTAAAACCCCACGGCACAGTCACACTGGCCCAGATCCTTGGAAGCTGCATGCACCAATGGGCATCTCAGGCTACGAGGCCAGGCCCTGCTTGCTCTCAAGGAGAATCCAGGCGGCTCATGGATGCCACACTCATCCCCAAGGGACAAATCAGCAGGGAGGGAGTGAAGAATGGAGTGGGAAGGAGCAACCCTAGGGGGCTTCTGGAAGGGAATGGAGCCAGGATTGGGCTGCTGGGGGGGGTGCTGTAAGACATCCTGGGCTGCCCCCTAGTCCATCTTCAGGGCTCCATTAGCCCTCCCTGCAGATCTGTCCCTGACCTTTCTTTAGTGGCTGTCTCCTGTGTGCTGGGTGTGGGGTGGAGAAACTGCCAGGGTCCTGGCAGGGAAGGGAGACAAAAGAAGGCCTCATTGTCCCTGGGGTCAGAAGCATAAACAGAAAGCACGGTCAGTTGAGAAAGCACCAGGAGACTCCCCTGGCTGGGTGAGGGGACCCTGGGTGGAGAATGCCACATACCCAGCGTCGGAGCTGTTTCCACACAGTAACACGTCGGAGGTGCCGTTCTTGAGCAGGTAATTTTCTGTAAGAGACAAATCTGATGGTGAGGGACGTGTGTAGCCCAGCCTCCTGGGGTCCCTGCCTTGCATTCAAGGCTTTGGGGAGGTAAAGACATTACTGGTGTTCTTCCTTCCTCTTCTCTGTCCCTGCCCTAAGCCCTGCCCCTGCCTTGTCAGGTTTGAGGCAACTCTGGCTGGCCTTCCTCCTGTTCTTCTGCAGACATTCTGCTGCCAGTGTCCCCACACTCTCAGAAGACACAGGAAGCAGAGCCCCAGCTGCTCCCACTGGGACTTCTGCACCCTGCTCCAAGCCACTCAGGGCCAACCAGGGCCAAGAGAGACCCTGACCAGAAAGTAAGGGTCTGACGGAGTCTCACTGCGTGGCTACTAAGTGATCGTGTGGCCTTAGCAGGCCATTGCCAGCTCTGGACTCTCTTCCACTGCACACAATGGTGGAAATGATACCTCCCAGTTGCCACGGCAACACTGCAGTCCGTCCAGATAGGGGTGGGGCTTCACCAGGTGAGACACAGGACACCCAGCTGTGTTCTCTCCTCTCTGTGGCCATGTCAGTCCCTGTCACTCACCATTACCTGCCTTTGTCCTAGACAGCAGTTCTCAAAGTGTCCTCAAACCAGTGTCATCAGCATCATCCAGGAACTAGGTAGAAATTCAACTTCCCGAATACTACCCAGAACTGTGAGCTCAGAAACTCCGGGGCTGGGGCCCAGCAGTCTGTTTTCCAGAGTCCTCCAGGCAACTCTGGCACAGATGGATGCTTTAGAACCACTGCTATAAGGCCACAGCTGAACCGTAAGCAAATCTACTCATTGAGTTTCTATCTACACTTCTTTTTCCAAAGTGAATTGCTAGTGTATGGAAGAGGCCCTAACATCAGAATGGTCTTCAGGGTCCTCAAGGCCTGGAATCTGGCCTCGTATCAGTGTCTACCTTTGTTTTTTGTTTGTTTGTTTTGTTTTGAGTCAGAGTCTTACTTTCTTGCCCAGGCTGGAGGGCAGTGGCGTGTTCCCAGCCATTGAAGCCTCAACCTGCTGGGCTCAGGTGATCCTTCTGCCTCAGCCTTCCAAGTAGCTGGAACTACAGGCATGCACCACCATGCCTGGTTAATTTTTTTTTCTTTTTGGATTTATTGTAGAGATAAGGTCTCGCCAAGTTGCCCAGGCTGGTCTCGAACCCGTCGGCTCAGGCAATTCTCTCACCTCAGCCTCCCAAAGTGCTGGGATTATAGGTATGAGCCACCGTGCCCGGTCTAATGTCTACCTTTGACACAGACCAATGATGCTAGTAAAGACTGGGGTTGGCCATGCCTCCACCACAATGGAAGTGTAAACCACTTGGCAAGGGGCACACATGACTTTGCATAATCACTGAACTTGTTCTGACCCTCCCAGGGTTCTGGGGTGTATGTCTATGGAGTTAGCATTCTGGTCAGGAATCCTGACAGTGACTTGGAAATCCCCAGACCAGGCAGGTGGGGCTTCACTCTGAAGCCTCGTCACCTAGCCCAGCTCCGTGTCCACCCTTTCCCTGAGCTGACGCTCCTGCAGGTAGGTGGGTGTTCTCACTGTTCCGACATGCTAGGGTCAGGCCCACCTCCAAATGCTGCAGCTGCTGTTCCCTGTCCCTGTACCCTCCACCTAACTCCATCCTTCCCCTTCCTCAAGCACTGCCTCCCCTTCTAGCCTGGGAAATCACGAAGCGGGCCCTAAGTCTGTACTCCTCTTGTCTTCTGACTCTTGGGGATCTTGAAGGGCCTTGGAATCCTGCCCTCTGGTGAAACCTGTGTGGGAGGCTTTCTGGCCCTGATGGTCTCGCAAAGCCCTCATGAGCCATGGAGCAAGTCTGTACCTGGATCGTTCAGGTAGAGGTCCAGAGAGTCCCACACCATGCCGTCGGCCTCCACAGAGCCGTTGGTGTCATTGACCGCCGTGAAGTTGCGCACACACTTGTGCCTCAGATTGCCCATGAAGAGCTGCAGGCCGATGAGGGCAAAGACGCTGAGGCAGAAGACTGTGAGAACCATCACGTCAGCTAGCTTCTTCACAGACTGGATCAGGGCCCCCACGATGGTCTTCAGGCCTGGGGAAGGCGAGAACAAGCACAGGGTCACCCATGTGCACTGTGTTCTGCCTCCATGGGCTGGGGGCCTCCTTGGGGTCCTGAGTTAAGCAGGGGTGGGGCCTGGGTGGGCAACGGTGAGGTGGGAACTGAGTGAGGGAGGCAGCTCTTGGGTTTTTGAGACCCAAGCCCCCTCTCCTCAGCTGCTGAGATTCTGCCCTGACTTTCCTGGGCAGGAGGAGTCTTGTATTTTTGGGAGGATCCTGGTCCTCTCTGCTCTCCACCAGCCAAATATTTGGCATGGGTGTGGAAAGTGTTTTCTTGAAGAAACACACACTCAGAGCATGACCCCTCTGACTGGTCCTAAGGTATGCCAGGCCCAACCCATTTAATGTAGCACATGGGAAAGGAGACAGGTTCCGGCCCATCCCAGGGCAATGGAGGGGCCTTGATCCTGAGATGGCAAGAAACACAGCCATTCCTCATAGGGGGGCCCTTCTGCCCCACTGCTGGGGTTGGCCCTCTTGATACAGGGGATTTTGATTGTTTGGGGGAAACTAGGGACCCAGGGGCTGGGGTCAGGCTGGGGCTGGTGTGTGTGTGCTGGGGTGGGAGGCAGGTCTGGCAGGGCCATGGTGGGTGATGTCCTAAGGTGCTCACCTGCCGTGGCTCGGGCCCACCTTTGGGGGAGGTTCAGGAGCAGGGGAGGGGGTCGATCTACATGGCATCTTTCCTCTTGCCCTGTCCCTCGGGACCTCCCCCATGCTCCACACCCTCACCCATCCCATTCCCCACAGCTGAGAGGCTGTGATCTGTTAGTTGTACAGCCCAGCTCCCTGCGGAAGCCAGCACCACACAGCAGAATGACAGAAAAGCATGTGTAGACGTGTCCAGTCTGACCCTTAGCAACTGTCCTAGGACACGTGCCAGCAGAGCATTGGGAACGAGGGGGCTCCTCTGTCAGCAGCAGGGCCCCATCCCTCCTGCCCCTCGCCCAAGCGGCCCGATCTCAGATTAAGCTCCATTCATTCATCGTCCAGCCGGTTAATGTGTTAGGAGCACCCATGGCTTCTGTGCCCGCTGCCGCTGGGCCTGTGACCCAGGGGCAGGGAGGCAGCAGTGGGCAAACATGGGACAGGGAGAGGATGGCTTCCCCACAGTGCCGCTAATGCTGTCGCCTGCCCTGGGCTCAGAGGCACTCAGTGTTCTCTGTGGAAATCATCCTGGCAGATGTTGGCAACTGCCTGGGCAGTAGGTGGGTCTTGCAGGGGTCTGGGCATGGAGGGGTGGTAGGTTCATGAGCCCTTCGCAACCGGTGCTCATCTGTAGCAGAGCTTCTAGTACACCTCTGTGGACTCGTGTCTGGTTCTGCTCACTGGGCCTGGAGACATCACCCGTATTTCCGCGGGGGGGAGCAAAGGGAGGCATGGTGGGCAGCAGCTCGCATACCCAAACCGGACCCTGGCTCAGTTGTGAAGATAAAGTCTCTCTGGCCTATCCCATTCAAGGCCAGCAAAGCACCCCCGACCTGGTATGTGAAGACAGTGATGGAGGGTAATCTACCCCTTTGAAGATTTTTCATATTAGTGGACAGACTTTACTTCTGGCAAGAATGGTCTCACTGAAGTCACAGGATTTTTTTCTAAAGAGACCCAAGAAGCCAGGCGTGGTGGCTCATGCCTGTAATCTCAGCACTTTGAGAGGTGGAGGCGAGAGAATTGCCTGAGCTCAGGGGCTTGAGACCAGCCCAAGCAACATACAATAAACCAAAAAATTAGCCGGGCGTGGTGGTACATGCCTGTGGTTCTAGCTACTTGGAAGGCTGAGGTGGAAGGATCACCTGAGCCCAGTAAGTCGAGGCTTTGGTGGTTATGAGTGTTCCACTGCACTCCAGCCTGGGTGTCAGAGTGGGACTTCAACTAAAAAAAAAAAAAAAAGACCCAGGAAGGGATGGGTCTCAGGACATCAACTGGAAAATCCTCCTGCCACTGAAGTTTCAGCAGGCTAGATGAAAGAGACCTTGGAAACCAACCATTCCAATTTCACTCCCATTTTATAGAAAAGAAGATTGAGGTTCAGAGAGGACTAAGGCTATTTAAGGCTCAGATTGAAGGACACCTTCTCCCAAGAGCCTTCCACAATGTTGACCACGGCACTATTCTATTGACCATGGTCGGGGTATGTTATTTCATACCTGTGATCCTGTGGGGCCAGGCTGAATTTGTAGGTGTCCTCCTCTACCCCATGACTGAGAAATATTTCCCGTTGTAAGTCTTTCAAATAAAACAGACCAGAACATGCCCTTTCGTAACACCTGTGGTCAGCACGTTTGTCTACTCTGGTGGGGAATATGCCTGTGAGGCTGTACTTAGGACCCTGGAAGACAGACTGAGGCTTCCAGGTCAGTATGTGTGTACCTGTCTCAATGGGGATAGCTCCATGGGAGTGGCTGGGGGCAGACGTCCCCCTGTGGTACTGGCTCTTGGCAGGGTCTGGGCTACTTGTGGCAGCCCTGGCGGAGAAGTGGCTCTTGTACACATACTATGGTGGGTGCTGAGACCAGAAAGCTCAGTTTGAATGTACATAATTGGGGGCTCCTCTTACAAGACAATTGGCCCTACCAGGGGAGTCTAGATTCTTTATGGGAGCTCAGAGAGGGGCTCCTGTCTCCCTTGGGACATCAATGGCTAAATGCAGGCCATGGGCTGGAACCATCAGCGTTCCAGATCAGGAACAGGTTCAGTCATCCAGTTCAGCAGAACCTTCCTTCAGCCCTCACTCCTCCCCAGAAGGCTGGCATACATCCTATATCAGCTGCCCTCTGAAAACAAGCGCCTTCCCTAGTTCTGTGTGTGGCTGCGTTCGGAAAAGGCTTCTGGAAGGAGCCTCTGGGCACTGACCATCCAGAACAAGTTCCTCCAGACAGGAGGAGCTTTGAGTTTGGACTCAGTGGAGTCTGGGGAGAGGGAATGAAGACTTAGGGCAGGATGGTCTCCTGGGTGGAGCTCCACTTCACACCTGCATGTCACACAGCTGGGCTCAGAAATCACAAGTCTTTTGAGAGCTTTTCCTGGATGGATGAATGGAATGGTTTCTAGAGGGACCATCTGGGCTTAGAAGATTTCCCGGGTACAATTGCCAACATCTGTCAAGGAGAATTTCTTCCTGAGGCTACCATGCACGGTTTGCTAAACCTCTACCGCACCATGCAGCGAGGGCTGTTAACCGCCAAGGCCCAATGACGCCTGTCCCCAGATTACACTTTGTCTCACAAAATGGGGCTGGAGCCGTGCATCTGTCACCAGAGGGGACACAAAGGCAGGGACCAAGCACTCAGTCATAAAAGACTGTGCTGGAGTTTTCCTTTTTTGTTCTGAGTATATACGTGGGTTCCCTCAAACACAGTTCTTTTGGTTTCCTGATTGGAGAATGGCACTTTAGGCTGAAGCAATTAATGTATAAGCTTTCAGTTATTCAAAGAGCTGAGCCAGTCTTGGAAAAGAAATCCACAATCTTGGGAAGAATTTGGATTCAATGCAGCCCCATCGTAGGGTACTCTGTACCCTCTGGTGTCTATGAGAGTGAGCTTTTCTGGGGTGGCAGCCTGAAGCCCATTTTGAGGTGCTGGGGTGACAGGCATGTCCATCCCTGATGGCCCCACACCTGAGCTCTGGGAAAGGTATTCTGGTGACAGGCACATTTCCAAGGGGTCTTTGGGAGGGTCGCCTTGGCTCCCGGGTGGTTGGAAAGGCCCAGGCGTATCCCTCCAGCCTTGGCGTTTAACCTGATTTTCACCTGAAATGACTGATATAGTTTTCAGGGCCCGGAGGACTCGGAAGGTACGTAAGGCTGAGACATTGCCCAGGTCCACAAATTCAGTTGTGTATCTGTAACAAGGGAGATTCACACACGAGACAATGACAACACGCCAATAGGAGACACATGTCAGAGAAGGAGAGGGGGTGGGGGAGACAGAGAGAGAGTCACTTGTAGCTGAGATCTGAGAGGCAAACCTGAGCATCTTACCTGGGATAACTGAAATAGTTTTTAGAGCTCTCAGGACTCTGAAAGTTCGAAGAGCCGACAAATTGCCTAGTTTTATATTTTCTGATACATACCTGCAGAATCAAACCACAGTTATTGGGAATTACAAAGCAGAACCTCAGGCTGCCCTCCCCGACCAGCCCTCTCCCGTCCCCCTCCCGTGGAGGGGTGGAGCTGCGGATGGCTTGGGGCTTCCCCCGGGGCCTTCTTCCTGATTCCAACCCTTCTGACAGGGGACCTCAGCATGGGTGCCATAAGGATGTCCACACAACAAGCTCCCAGGTGCTCTCTCAGTGATGGTGCCATGGATAACCGGTGCTAGGTGGCAACGATTCTCCACACCACTGAGGACTATGACACAAAACCACACGTGGTGTCTGAGGCCGGGGATGCATCAAGTGAAGAGAAAAGCCTTGTTTTCCAGGAGGTTCAGGTAGCTGACACAGAAAGCAAGTGGGCTTCTGGTCCTAGTGTTGGCCCACATCTTCTGTGGTCTGTGATAAGCTTGTGCCTGGCTGCTCTGATCCATGGGACACTGAAGCCCTGGCTGAGACCACCAGAGAGGGGCAGTTGGGCTTCTGAGTGCTGCTCACCTCCTCCTTCCAATCATAAATGTCTCTGTGCAAGGAGTGGCTTCGGACTTCCTGGAGTCACAAAGTGGAGATGGCCCGAGTACTCATAAGAAAAAACACAGAGTTCCTAAGCCAGAGGCATTGGAAGATGGGAAGAGAGTTTGCCTGAATATCCATTCTTCAACTACTTGCAGGCAAGGGGCAACCCAAGAAGAGAAAAGAACAGGATGAGGGGCTCTATGGCAGTGGGGCCCCTCCCTCAAGAGTCCACCCACAGTCTCACAACCAGACCCTCAGCCTCCTCCTCGGGAGGCAAGCAGCCTTCCCCAGGGTCAGCCCTGCTTGGGTCTGAGTGATGCTCAGTGGCTGTGAGGCTCCCAGTGAACTTGGACAGCTGTCCATCTTGGGCTTCCATAGGCACAGGAGGAAGGAGTTGGTCTCTGAGGGGGCAGGGATCTGCCCAAGGAGAGTGTGAGGACATGCAGTGGATGGGTCACATGACCGTGAAGATGTCTGAGAGGTGGACAGACAGTGTGTGACCAAGGCCATCGGGACAGTGGCAAGTGACTTGTGATATTTAACCAAAAGCTTCGCATCCAAAGTGTCTGACATTTAACCGAAGGTGTCTGATGTTTAACAAAGGACACTGGACTCAGGATGTCTGATGTTTAGCCAAATGTGTCTGACCTGGGAGTCTGAGTGATGCCAGACCCAGGTCGTCAGCCCTACGGTGACCAGTGAGTGGGAGGGTGGTCTCGCAGTGTAGGGGGGCTCATTCTGCTGGGAAGTCTGGACCTCCAGGTACTTTCACTCTGCTCAGAGCTCTGGAATTCCCCTTCAGGCTCTCAGTGTCTATGGGAGAGGCCTCGTCAGGCTGTGTTGAAGGACTCAATATCCTCCAGCGGGTCCAGCCTGGCTCAGCTCTAACAGATATTGAGCTGATGCCAGCTTCCTTTGTCCACTAGAGGGGCCCTCCATTTTCATGGGGTCCTGCAGACCATGCCTCCTCCCTCCTTACTCACATGACCCTGAAAAGATGGGAAGTCAGCAGACACGTTCCTAGGGCACTCCATTCTCTGGCTGAACCAGACCCTTTCTGTGCCGTGATTTTTATTCCATCCTGGGACTCACTTCAGCTTGCAAATCTTTCTCCAGTGCAGCAGTTGATGCAGCCCACTGGGGAGCAGAATTCACCTTGCTTCCTCACAACTTTTGGTACCTATTCCTTGCTACGGTGGCTCAGACCTTCAAGCCTCTGACTCACATTCTTCTCTCAAGCTTGAGAGGCTCTTTTTTCAGTTTCCATCCAGATATGGTGCTGCCATGTGACTCTCAGGCTGAGCCTGAAGTTTGCCAGTGTCGCTGTCCCACGAAAATCATGGGTTCAGCCTGCTAGAAACCCTGGGTGCCATTTCATGCTGCTGGTCTACTGAGTGTGGCCTGGGAAAACAGCCTCCCTTGCTCAGGACACTGGTTTCAAAGCTGTCTCTTCTGGTTACAGGGTGAGTGAATATCATGCAAGCCAGAGAGGGAACCAACTGTCCTTGCATCTCTCTTGTTCCTTACAGTCCTGCCCCTTACAGACTGTTCCTTACAGTCTGTTCCCCTAGTGTCTCCAGTAAAGGCCCTGCCCATCTCTAACTTGGATTCTGCCTCTCTTTGCCTGTCCCAGTGTAGAAACTGTCCCGCTCTTGGTGTCCCCAGCACAACAGTGCTTGCCCTCCATTCACTGTCTGTCTCCTAGGCAGCTGGTGTCCCAAGGTGATAAGGACGGGCTGGTGACAAAATAGGGAAGGATCATATCTGCGTTTCTGGCAGGTTTGCAAAGCCAGCTGAGTGGCTGGGAACAGGAGAGGGGCTGGTGGGTACATGTCTGTACAGGAGATCAATTGTGGGTTGGAGGAAGTCTTGAAGGAGGAGCCAGGGCTGGGTAAGGGCACAGAGTGTCTTGGACCACAGCTGTGATATGGGGGACTGCCAGCTCCTTTACTCCACCCAGAACTTGATGTCTGCTTCCCAGGTTGGGAGCCCAGACTCCCATTGGAGTTCTCCTAGGGCCTCTGAGTGTGGCAGGGCAGGAGGAACCTTCTGTATGGCCCAGGGCCAGTATCAGAGGTGGTGAGGATGGGATGGAGTGGAGGGGATAGAGCTTTGCCACTCTCAGGCTGGTAAAACCCTCCTCCTAGCCAGTCTGCTCCTTATGGGATGGCCAAGCTGCTGGCCAGGACAGACAGTTGCGATGGGATTACTGGCCCTGGCACAGAAAGAGCAGAAGGTGGAGATGAGATGCTATCCCACCAACAGCTCCAGCATCGGGGGAGCCTTCTTGGTGGCCAGGAAACCATATAGAAGGCAAACCCTTACCTTCTTCCTGCCCAACCCTTATCTTGAGATGGTGAAGCCCACATTGTCAGCTACTGCAGGGACTGTCACCCATCCTCTCTGCCCTCCCTCCCTTCCCCTCCAGGTTTGGTTTCCATAACAACCCCAGAAGGTGGGAGGCTGTGCTAACTAGCAGGTAATGCCCAGCCGTGAGGGGGGCCACCAGAAGAGCTCTAGCTGGAGAGTCGCAAGCTGATCCTGGCGGGCTTCCCAGCACCCTGGCCCCAGATGTTCTCACAACCCCTAAATCAGGTGGGGTGGAGTATCAGGTCAAAACCTGGCCAGAAACGTCAGACTTGGGGTTCCTCTCCCATCCATCCCATGGTTAGGAGTTAGGAGACTTGGTTTTAGTCCCAGCATTGCTGCTGATTCATTCTATAATTCTGGGCAAGTGGTAGGTTCTTTCTGAGCCTCAGTTTCTCCATCTGTATAATGGAGGATGGATGGGGAGTTTCACTGAATGGAACCTTTCAGCCACTCAATTATCCTTGGAGCCTCTTGTTATTGAACCATTTTGTCTATAACAACGCATTTCAGAGGCAGTAATTAATTGGTTTTCATAAGGCAGAATCACTGTCAATCAGAGCTGCCAGGTCAGTTCAGCCAGGAGCCCCTGGCTGACATACCAATGGGTCCTAAAGCCCTACAGGAAGTAAACATGCCATTTCTGAGGTGCTTGAAAGTGTGGAGATTGCCTGAGCTTCTAAGGCCCCGCTCTGCCTTGTCAACCCCGTTCTGGGAGAGTGAGGGCAAGCAGAGCCTGGTGGGAAGGCACACCTGCTTTGCAATTCCCAGTGGAAAGAGTGGTTCCCCATGAAATTCCATGGGGAATGAGACCTGAATTTTTCACGAGACAGCACAGGAAGGCTGGTGAAGGGCCTGAGGTCACACAGAGCATCTTCCCAGATCATGGGCTGAGCACAGGCCAAAGCCTAGCCAGGGTGATGACTTTTCCTGGGGTCTAGGGTCATCTCTGTAGTAACACTGTTTTGCTCAGGTTCCAGGATGGGGAGATAGGCTCAGGCAGACGAAGGCTCCTCTCCTGCCCAAAGCACCATTCTTTCCTGTGACACTCGGCCTTTAAGGTCCTTTGGATTACTGGCCACAACTCCTTAGAGCAGCCTGGAGCCCAGGCCCAGCCTGGCAAGCCTACTCCATTCCCAAGTCAGTGTAACCAACCTGGCTCTGACACAAAGAGTCCTCCCTCTCTCTCAAACCCCAGACAGGTTCCCTGCTCTGTGTTCTCAGCTGATGATGCTGCTTCTTGTTCTCTGAGAAAATAGAAGCAATCAGAAGAGAAAGTCCTTCGCTCATCATCAGCTCTATCAATTCACCTCCATCTCCACCCGAAATTCTGCCTTCCCTGCCCTTCAGGCCAATGCTCCACCCTCGCGGGCCAACTCAAGGGCTTTGCTCCCGCAGTCCCCCCTCTCACCTCCATCATCAAGTGTTCCCTCTCCACTGGATCATTCCCACAAAGATCATTCCCACAAAGGGAAGCCTACAAAGATACTTCCCTTTCTTGTAAGTTCTCCCTTAACCCACATTCTGTCCCAGTATAGCAAATCCCACAAAATAGATGTCTATGCTTGCCATACCCCCCTTCTCTCACTCTCTCTCGAACCCTCTTTAATAACTGGTATGCATCCTCCCGTACACTGGAACCCCTCTTGTCAAGGGCACCAGTGACCTTCACACTGTCAAATTCAACAGTCCATTCTTAGTCATCACCTTCCTTAACCTACTGTGGTGTGTTTCCAGTGGAATCCCATTCCTCAGGTGGCTTTCCGGATACTATTTTTGTCTGGCTTTCTTCCGCCCTTTCTGGCTTGTTCCCTCCAGTTTTCTGTCCTGACCTTGAGATGTCGGAGTGTCCCACAGGATATTCAGGCTGCAGGCTACACTCATTCCTAGGTGATCTCATCTGGTCTCCTGGCTTTAAATACCATCCGTATCCCTATGGCTTCTAAATTTATATCTCTACTTTGGACCTCTTTCCTGAACTCCAGACTGGAATATCCAGTTGCCTACTCAATATCTCCCCCTGGATGCTTTCAACCATCAAACATTCCAAACCGGTCTTCCGATTCCCTTCCTCCCTCAGTCAGTGCCTCCCTTCAATTCTCCCTTTTAGTAAATGGGAACACCATGCACCCAGCAGCTTCTCACAACAAAAACTACCTCCCATCAGTTGCACCTGCAGAATCTGACTAGGTTCTCTCCTTCTCCACTTGGAGCTTGGTTCTGGTCACTCTCCTGGCTACCAAAACAACCTCCACCTGCTTTTCAGTTTGTGATTCAACACAGTAGCCGGGGGCAGGGGTGGGGGTCTCTACAGAATGTAAACGAGGTCACGGCTCTGCCTGCTCTTATGCCCCAATGGCTCCCACCATACCTGGCTCTTGCCATGACCTAGGGGCACTGTACAGTCTGTCCCCTATCCCACCACTCTGCCACTTCACCTCCCATCACCCTTCCCTTTGCTCACTCAGCTCCACCCAGGCCTAGATGGACACTGGATTTGGGGCAAGTTGTACACTGTTTCTTGCAGCCAGTTTCCTCCCTGCAAAATGGAGGGCTGGACTCAGCTCCCAAACAGGGTTTTTAGAAACAGAGGTTCTGATGCGTTTTCTAGCTACCAGGTTCTCCATCTAGCTTGAAAGTGCCCCTTCTGCAGGGTCCAGCTTCCCTCTTTGTCCTCTCCCCCACAGCATGGTTGAGCTCAGGGCTGCTCATGTCTGGGGTTCAATAAAGGCTTTGTCTTAAACAGATAGATTCAGTGAATCCAAGAATCTCAGAACGTGGGCGCTGAATTAAGCTTTGATACCACTGAGCTCAGCACTGTCTGTTCACAGGAAAGCTTAACTTCACCAGCTTTTCTCCTTGCTGAGGTGTGGGACTCAGTCCCCCACACACAAGGTCCTCGGCCTTCAGCAAGGCTTTGATGGCCAAGCCCCTGACCACGGCTTTTGCATGGCAGGCCCGCCCTGCTTAGTCATCTCACCAGAGCCTAGCATCCGTTGCCTGAGACTTCCAGGGTGAAGTCCCACCTCCACACTGACCCCTCAGCAAGGGTTTCCTCCTGGGCAAGGAGGTAGGGCCTCAGCTGGGTTGTGTCAGGCCTGGTCACTTCACTTTCTGGTGGGCTCCCTGTGCATCCTTGGCATCTGTTTTCTCATCTGTAAAATGGGCTAAGTACCCCTATCCAGTCTTGATGGATGGCATAGAGTATCCATTGGCTCATGTTAGTGACCCAGCACTTTAAAATATGTCAGTGACCAGGTGCTCTAGAATATGCCGAAAGCAGAGTCTCTTAATGAAGGGAGCAGATATGCTGGGGATGCCCAGGCACCTTCCCAGGTTCCTTCTCATTCCTGCAATTTCATTCTTAATCACCTTGGGATCCAGGTGGTTTCTCTTGGTGGGAAGAACAGAGGATGCTCAACCAGAATCCCACTGGTGTCCCTTCAGCACAGGGCTGCCGTGGAGTCACAGGTGAGCCAGGGGGCCTAACCACCAAGGCCTGCCTGAGTCTCTGTGTACCCATCTGTCCTCACCAGGATGCGCTGATGGTCTCCACCCTGCCTTGCTTCAGCTGTGTGCAGAGCTGCCTGTGGACTGCAGTGGGGAAGTCAAGAAGGGTGGGTGACATGTGGCCTGGGGTGGTGTACACCCCAGTGTGGTCGGGCATGGCACAGCACCGCATAGCAAGCAAGATACTCACGCCATGACAATCACACTGAAGTCCAGCCAGTTCCACGGGTCCCGGAGGAAGGTGAACGCGTGCAGGCAGAAGCCTCGGGCCAGAATCTTGACCAGAGACTCAAAGGTGTAAATGGCGGTGAAGGTGTACCTGGAGGAGAGGCCGGCGGGGTTTCTCAGGGAGGTTGAGGCCTGTAGGCCTCATTAGCCAGGTTCCCCATGTAGCACAAACACCATGTAGCTCCCCTTACTGGAGGTCATCAGACCAGGCTCTCTGCAATGCCCTATGGGGATTGTGGGGGGAGCTTTGTTCTAAACATCTGGCGAATGAATCAGTCTTCCTATTTATTGAGTGGCTGCATGTGCCCATCTGAACTCTCCGTGTTCTCTCTCTTAGTTGCTTGGTGTAAGAAGACCTCCCACCTATCTCCTCACCAGCCCTGGGGGCCCATGTGCAGGTTTCTGGTGGACACCGGGTCTGTCCTGCAGGACAGTAAGGATGGGTGGAGTCACTGTCCCTCACCCATGTGTGTATATACTCAACGGCTAAACAAAAAGGTCTCCTTACACCAAGCACTAAGAGAGAGAACGTAGAGAATTCAGGTGGGCACACGCGTGCACTCGATAATAAATAGGAAGATGGATTCATTCGCCAGATGTTTAGAACAAAGCTCCCTCCCTGCATGCCAGCTCTGCCATGGGGGCATTGCAGAGAGTCTGGTCTGATGGCCCCGGCAAGAGGAGCTGCACAGGGCTTGCACTACATGGTCCATCCTCAACCGCCTACAGGGTAGATGGGTCCAGCTGTCTACTTTGGGCTTGGAGGAGTGCTGCTGTTATAATGTGTGGGGCTGGGTGGAGGGCAGTTCTCTCTGCCTGGGGCAGCCCGATGACTCCAAAATGCCTAGATGCTGGGACTGTGGTCCCCAGGCCTGGAGTGGGAGGGCTGCAGCCCAGGTCTCATAGCAGCAGGTTGCAGCAGCACTGATAGCACTACTGGGTTCTGTGTGACTGTGGAGGACTACCAGGCAAACCGCTCTGGGAGAGAGGCTGTCTCCACATGCTGCCGGTGTCCTGAAAACAGGAGCCAAACGCAGTAAGGCCTAGCCAGTCTGCTTAGAACTTCCAGGTAAGGTACTTTTGTTTGGGAAGAAAAGAGCAGACACAGTTTTTTAATGAGAATGGCTGCAGGAGGCAGGACTTGGGGGGAAAAAGGCAGCAGGGTGTTCCACTGAAGTGGGGATAGCCCTGGACCTTTTTCTGGCTGCCACGCCTCCTAGTTGCAGGATATCAGACCAGTGATTTCTCCAATGCTTAGTCTCCTCATCTGTCATGTGGTGCTAGTTAGTGGCTGTACCTACCCTACTGGGTTGCCATGAGGGTTATAGGAAATGACACTTAGTGTTCTTTTGACAGTGCCTGGCATGCACTAAGTGCTCAATATATTACTGTTATTTTGGTACTATTTCAGAACCTTCTTCAATGTCAACAATCCTCTTTCGTGAGGACAGGGAGAAGCACCCTGCTTTGCCAATCTGGAGCGATTCTTCCCCAGAGGGTACCACTTAAACAAGAACTTGGCAGAACTTGAAAAGGCAAAAGAGGGTAGAAGCTGAGACAACGACCCCCTCCACCCCACCCATGTAGATGAGTTTCTGGGCCTGGACACAGCCCCCTCCCGGGTGACTTTAGAGGTCGTGGCACGGGACATGACAGGAAGGGAGGCGGCCAGGTAGAGAGGCCCTGGAGATACTCACTCAACATACTTGGTCCAGGGTGGAGGGTCGTGCTGGGCCATGAACACACAGTTGGTGAGGATGGTGCACATGATAAGCATGCTGAAGAGCGTGGGCGGGGTCAAGGAAAGCGGAGAATCACGGCCACCACGCCCCCACCCCTGAGGGGCCTTCCTAGGGTCATCACTGCCAGGCCAGTGCCACCAGTTCAATAAGAGAGGGGTTCTGAGGAGACACGCTGGGGCTGTGACCAGTCTGTGCCAACCCTCACTGACGCTGGTCTCTTGTGGCACTTGTGGCTGGACCCCGCCCTGCTCCACAGCCCCTAATGGGCACCAGATGGTGGAAGCCACACCTCTGGCAGGGTTCCCTGTAGGGTTTTGCGTGGAGGGAAGGAGAAAGGGTGGACCCCAGATCTCAGAGGTGACGGGCATTTAGAAACTGCTCCTCGGGGCAGGGACGACAAGAGAGGCAGTGCTCCAGGTTCTTTCCCTTACTCCTTATTTATTATGTTTCTGAGTTGGAGTTTCACTCCACTGCCCAGGCTGGAGTGCAGTGGCACTCTCATGGCCACCTCAGTGTCGGCCTGCTGGGCTCCGGCGATCCTTCTGCCTCAGCCTTCCAAGTAGCCAGAACTACAGGTGTATACTACCATGCCTGGCTAATTTTTGACTGTGGAGACAAGGTCTCACCAAGTTGCCCAGGCTGGTTTTGAACCCTTGGCCTTTCAAAGTGCTGGGATTACAGGCTGAGTCACTGAGCCCGATCTATTTTTTATTTTAAAAACTGGGGGTACAATTCAGGATTAGGTATACAAGTGGTCATCCTACAGGTAAAGTTTGGGCCTCCCTTTGGTCCCTACTTTGCCTGGTTTGAGACCAGGTACCTTTATTGATGTTGTGATCCCCCCGCCCCCATCTCCACCCTGCAGTATCCCACTACTGCCAACCAATCCCTTTCTTATAGTATTATGGTAAATGTTCAGGGTCCACTGAGTGAGAACATATGGTACTCTGTTCTTTGTTTCTGCGATAGATCACTGAGTATGATAGATTCTAAATCCATCCAAGTTGCTGCAAAGTCCATATGTTTGTCCTTCTTTATGGCTGTGTAATATTCCACTGTGTATCAGTGCCACATTTTTTTTTTACCCAGTCCAGTTTTGATGGGTCCCTCACTCACTTCTAGGGACACAGCCCAGGTGGGACTTTTGCCTAGGATTTTTCTGCAGAAGTGCTCTGCTACCATCGTCTGCTGACACTGGGGAGGCAGGGGACACTCCTCTGACTGGTCCCTGCCTTAATCTTCTCTTTTTGTCCTCTGATTCACCTGGTAACTTCCTTCTCACCCTTCAAGAACCCCGCTGCAGGACCCCTGCCCCCAGCAGCCTGCCTTGACTTCTTGGTTGTTGCTGCCTCTGCACTCTTAGGGCATCACGCACTCCTTTTAGCTGTAGTTGCTCGCTGAATGGCGATGCTCATCTGTCTCCCACCAAAAGAGGAGCTCTTCAAATGCCAGGAATATGCCTTGGGTCCTTGGCCTTGAGCTGAACTGCTCCAGGCTTTGTCTAACTCAGATTCTGGTTGCAAGTCCTAGCTGCTGCTTCAGGTTGGACAGAGCTCTAACTACCCTCCTCCACTCCTGCCTCAACTTTGCAAGACCTATGGAGAAGCCAGGGCAGATTCTGGGTCTTCTGCAGGCTGGGACACCCCTAGGGGCCTGGCCTGGAGCAGGAACACTGTGCTGCCCTCACAAATTTCCTCTCTAGCCCCAGAGGAGAGGTTGAGCCTCCCACTCCCTACGGCTGCCCCTGGGTGTGCCACACCGCGCTCCAGCCTCAGCCCCATACACACAGCAGCCAAACTGGTAATTCCCACAGGCTGCCCCAGAGCCGAGGTAATTGAGCTCCAGGGGCTGCTTCTTTCCTCTCTAGCACAGCTCTACCTTGCCTGTCAGGGAGGCCAACACAGTCACACTACAGACCAGGCAGAGCCGGGTGCTGATTGCTTCAGCTGAAGATAGGGGAGAGGGCTCTCAAGGAATCCGACCAGGTAGATATATGTCCTCCACGCCTCCAGTCCTCCTTCTAGGGAATTCCTCCAGGTTACCATGAATTCTCCAATTTTTCATCTGAGATGAGAAGGGGAATCAGACTTTGGAAATCCCCCTTAGTCAAGCCAGGTCTGCTCAGCTCCAATGCCATGGCTCCAGGAAGCCTTGACTTCTCCTTGGCCAGAGAGCTGGGGCCCCTCAGCTTGTATCCGACTATCCCTCTGCCTGTGTAGGGTCTTCAGCTTTCAAGCCAGGGTCAGATACTCATCTCAGTACCACTTCTCCCTTACACATGTGCGTACACACACACACACACACACACACACACACACGCTGCTCACACCCAGGCTACGTGCCAAGGCTTTCCTCCCTGAGTTGATAGTTAACAAGCCCCTCAACCAGTCTTCATTTATCCCCACGGATTCATTGCTAAGCTGTCTACTGAGAATCCTGGATCATTCCTGAAATATGCAAGTAATGATGCCCAAAGTGAATCTTTACTGAGCCCTGCCTAGGTGCCAGGCTCTGTTCTCTGTGTCCATTCACTAATTAGATTCTCCCATCGGCCTGGTGAAGTGGGAACTTTCTTTCCATTTTAGGAGATGAGAAGACTGAGGCACAGGGAGGTTAAGTTGAAGGTGATTGTGGTGGGCAGAATAATGCCCCTATCACCCCCAAGATGACCATATCCGAATTGCAGGAAACTGTGAATCCGTTAACATATATGACAAAAGGGACTTTGCAGATGTGATTAAATTAAGGATCTTGCGATGGGGAGATTCTGGATTGTCCAGATTGATTCAGTAAAATCATATGAGTCCTTACAAGTGAAAGAGGGTCAGAGCCACAGTGTTGTGATGTGAGACTCAACCGGCCACTGCTGGCTTGAAGATGCCAGGGGAATAGGAGCCAAGGAATGCGGGCAGTCCCCAGAAACTGGAGGTCTAGAAAACACTCCTTCCCTCAGAGCCTCCAAAAAGGAGCACAGCCCTGTTGACATCTTGATTTTAGCCCAGTGAGAACCACTGTGGATGTCTAACCTCTCAATTTATCAGGAGATAATTTTCTGTTGCTTTTAGCTGTCGAGTGTGTGTTAATTTGTGACAGCAGCCCTAGAAATCTACTACAGAACAGCCCCTTCAGGTCCCCTCCCACTGTGGAGCTCTTCTGTCCTCTCAATAAATCCTGCAAAGAAAGAAAGAAAACTACTACAGGCACAAAGCTGATCAGTGGCAGAGCCACTGACAGCCCTGAGCCCCCACTTGCCCTGATCTAAGCCTCATTCTGGGCCCCCCTGCTGCACCACCTCTGCTTCATGACATGAAAGGCCACCTGGCCCACTCTCCTGCCTCCAGACTGGAGGGCCTGTGTGAGTCATGCTGCTTCAGGCTCTCACCTGCCAAGCAGGTATGCTATTCCATACCTGGCCTCTGCCGCCCACGGGGCAAGGTGAAAACCAAATGAGGTAAAGAGTACCGTTAAATGCAAGGAGACTACCACAGAGGAGGAAGGATGAAATTATTAGTCATTTGAAAAAGGAAACCCTATATGAATATGTGTGCCTGACCCTGAGTGGGAGGCAGTGGAGCCACGTACGTACCCACGATGTTTAGATGAGGGGTGCTATGAGAAATCAGACAGGACTCTGGCTGAGGTGGGCAGGAAGGCTTCCTCAAGGAGGCACTTAGACAAGCACCAGAGGCTGGCCAGGGTTGCTCCAGCAATCAGTCAGCCCAGCTGGCCATGGTAAAGCAGGGTGGACTGAGAACTGGGGGAAACCCCTCTCAGTGGAGCCAAGCACCTCACAGTTCTGGGGGTATCACAGCTCTCCTTAGAGTGGAGAACAGGCCCCTCTGCAGGGAGCAGTGGGTGTAGACAGGCTGCTTTGGGCCAGAGGACTTGGCTGGACCTGGACAAAGGTGAGTGAGAACTCTAACGCCCAGACTAAGGGTACACAGCCCTTCTGAATCCTGTCAGTGAGGGCCTAGGTCTCACAGTGGGCCATGATAAGGGTTGGGTTTTGCCTTTTCTGGCCATAGTGATGGCTTAGGATGAGGTGTGGGAGCCTTCCCTGGCCTTGAGGTGGCGCTTACATAATTCTCAGTCATTCCACTGTGTGTGTGTGTGTGTGTGTGTGTGTGTGTGTGTGTGTGTGTGTGTGAGATCTCTTCCTACCTAGACTGGACCCCTGGTGCATGTGCATGTTCTGTGCCCAGAACATACCCAGGTCCCCCACGGATCCCAGCATGCAGCCAATACTGGAGAGATGAGTCAATTGAACTCCTGGCCAGGGCACACCTCTTTGCACTACTGGTAATTTCAGACTGATGATCGAGCTGGTCCCTTATGTGGGCAGAGGCAAAGGCCAGCTCTCCAGGCCCAAGCTCAGCTGAACATCTTCAATCTTGTCTTGTCATTGTCCCCAAACATCCACTACCAGCCTCACGATTGAAAGGCCAGCAAGGAGGGCTTGGGTGGTGGAGAATACCTGACACTTGGGCTGCCTAAGTCTTCAGAGCCCAGGGAGTCACGTGACTCCCAAAGAGAAGGAAGTAGCTCTGTGGGGGGAGGGGTATTTTCATGCATTTGTGCTATTAAATGAACATGCACGCACATACACACACAAACACAAGGTTTGATTGCCCATTCGAATCTGGTGGAGGAACGTGGGAGGATTTTGTGAACAGATCCTTTGCACCCAGGAAGGCAAAATGCTTCTCGGTGTGAACAAGAGCCCTCTCTGAATGTGACTGTGGTAGAATTTGGAATTCAGTTCGTTTCTTTTATTTGATCCCGGCAGGAACACATTCTGCAGGATTATAACAAAAATATGTAGGGAAAAAAAAATCATTCTGCATGCCCATATTCACTATTTCGGCAACTTCCTAGGATTGGATGGCCAGCATGGAGCAAAGAACAAGGCCAGACTGGATCAAGGTACCCACACTGCAGTCTGCGAGCTCCTGGACTGTCTCAAGTGAGCAGGTTTTCTCGCCAGGCCTCTTTTTCCTGCCCTCTTTTAAGTCTGTCTTTGACCTATCTGCTCTTCCCAAAGAGCCTAGCACAGAACTCTGCATGTGTAGAACTTAGTAGATATTTGAATGGGTAAAAGAATTTTAAGCAGAGCAAAAGTTCACAGGAAATCTAACTTCATTAGAAATGCACAGTGACTGACAACAAGTGCACAGTTTCTTCTGGGGTGATGGAAATATTCTGGAAGTAGACAGTGGTGATGGCTGCATAACCTTACAAGTATACTAAGAACCACTGAAATGTGCACTTAAAATGGTAAATTTTATGTTACACTAAGTATATCTCAGTTTTTAAAAAATGCACGGAGAGCTTGAAGATTCCTAGGCCTCACACTGGTGATTCTCCTCTGGAAAGGGCTAGGAATTTGCATTTTAACAAACTTCCCAGGAGAGTCTGAAGTGGTCCTCACAGACCAACATTTGGAAACAATTGCCCTTGGAAATGTTATACAGAGACCTTGCTAAAATGCAGGTTCTGGGGTGAGGTCCAAGATCCAGCAGTTCCTACAAAATCCTGGTGGTGCTAATGCTACTGGTCCGTGCACCATACTCTGAATGTCCCAAACCCCACAAAAATAGGTCTCTTCTCCCCCTGGTTCCTGCTGAGTCCACTAAGTGACACTGTCAAGGGCCAGCAATGTGCTCCCATCCCCATGCAGTGGCGTGTTAAGGCAGCCACTATGAGCCCAGTACAGGGCCTCACTGATGCTCAGAGCTTCCCTGGGGCAGGCTGCTCAGAGCCCTCAGGGCCAGACCTGCCAGGTAGAACCAGCACTTCACAGTCTCAGAACCACTGCCCAGTGGACCCTCTGGTCAGGCTGGAGTCTCGAGTGCCCCCGTTGCCTCCCTGGCTCACCTGCCTCCCTGCCCCTTGGCCCAGTCCAGCACCTTGCAGGAGCCCTGGAGAAACTGCTGCATCCCTGGAGGCTTCTGTGGCTGCCAAACAGGGCTGGGTTGGTTAGATACCTGGAGGAGAAGCCCCAGGTGAGAGCCGGAGGATGCTTTCAGAGAGGCTACGCCCTTGAAGTGAGGCCTGAGATAGGCTCAGAGCAAGAACTCTCATCTTTCCTCTTCTTGTTGCTCCATTCTTCTCCCCAGGCTGTGATCACCACTGTTTGTGTAGCTGCCTTATCACTCTGCCTTACACTCCACTGTGGGGAGGGGCAGAGGGGGAAGGCTGTGAAATTCCCAAGGGGCCAGGATGGGGTCTCATTCGCCTCGACACCTCCAGGGTGGCCAGCAAAGAGCCTGCGACCTACAGGGAGCTCAGGAACAGTTGCAGGATGGCTGGAGATGAATCTAGAAACACGTGTGCCCCACAAAGTAAGATGCAGTTGTGAATGGTAGGCTGACCCCTGAATAAAACCATTCCCCCGTGTCTGCCCTGCCCTGGGGACCGCCCTGCTGATGCCACAGCCATGGCCTGTGGGGTTTTCCTGAGACACACACGCAAGGTAGAGGTGAGCTAAGGGCCACAGGGTTTGGACTGGGTATTGGGGAGCAGAAGAATATGGAGCCATGAAGGAGCATCCCCTATCCCTGCCTGGAGAAAGAGTCCCTCCCCTGCCAGCCTCAGTCCCAATTACTTAGTCCCTCACCAGGCAGCTGTGTTCTTGAAGCCTCCTGCCCTGCCCAGAGGTTAATGAGTGACGTCTTCATCTTGGCCTCAGAAAAGGCCCCTTAGAGGAGGGGCTGAGGGGCACCTTGGGGGGCGCTCTGTCAGGCCAGCCCACCAGACCCACAGTCAGTCCCCCTGCCTAGCCCAGCAGCACGGCTTAGATTAACAGCAGAGCCACCTGCAGGTGTCCACTTGGCCTGGTTGCTGCTGGCCAGAGGAAGGGCTGCCCAGGCCCTTTCAGTAAAGTGCTGATGCCACTGACTGTGCAGCTGGCACCACCCTCCCTGAAGGCTTCCATCTGCGGGGCCCCTTCTCCGAAGTCCAGAAAACAGGCATGATTAGCACCCATGCCGGGTGCTGCCTGCACTCAGCCCCTTTGAGGCCCAAGCCCGGTGCGGGTCCCTCATTACACGGCATCACTCCAATGGCTCTCCTCCCAGGCCAGAGCTTTTTTAGGTTGTGGTTTCTATAATTTAACGCTAACCAGAGTTCTTTGAGATACTCTGAAACTGCAAACATTTTGTCAACACCTAATCAAAAAGCAAGTGTTGCCTCCCTCGAATGATGCCCACATGTGAATAAACTGGAGGCCTCTTTATTGGTTTTTCTCTGGCTGAGCCCTGGCGACCTGCTTGAAGGTTCCTGTAAGTGGGTGGGGCGGGGGAGGGCCCACGGGGTAGGGAAGGAACATTTGGAGCCAATATTAGAGCCAGAAGAACACTGATAGGTCTCATGTCTTCTGAGATCCTCAGTAGCTTAGCTTCTGGGATGTTCTTTTGAAGAATCAGAGAAGGGTTTCTCAAACTGTCCTATGCCAAAGAATCCCCTGGGGACCTGTTAAAATGCAGGCGCTGGCTTGGCAGGTCTGGGGGTAGGGTCAGAGGGTCTGCGTTTCCAAGCAGCTCCCGGGTGATGACCAGGTGGCTTGTCTGAGGACTGGCAGGGAAGCAGCACCACCCTCATTCCCTAAGCTAGAAAGGGGATTTGGAGGGGGGCAGCACCCTTTGCACATCCCCAGGGTGCACCCAGCAGGATGCAGTGCAGGGATTAACTGCAAAGGATATGAATGAACCAGAATCTTCACGGCCGCTCTCCGGATGGGGTGGAAGGGACTGAGGACATACAAGGCATTGGTGGCACTGAACCGGAAGATGGTCTTGCCTTTGTTCAGGACGATGAAGGTCTGTGGAAAGACAGTGGCATTAGGCCCTTGTGCAGAGAGGCTTTTGGGGGACAGCTGTGGGCCCAGAGCCCTTGGGCCATGGCTGAGGGGTGGGGTGGGAGAAGGAGGGACCGAGGGAAGGAAATGGAGGGGGGACAGCCAGTACATTCAGCAGGTCAATAGACTCATCAATAGACTCACTGCTTTGCCCATGAGTGGGGTGGAGTAAGATCTAGTTTAGGGGAATGTCCAGCTGGTTGAGCTTTAGTTTCATTTCTAAATTAAAGTCCCAATAAGAGGGGGCCTTTCAGGGTCCTTTGCCCAGCTGCCATCATAGCACAGGCTGAGCAGGTCCAGTGATGCCTTTCTTCTTTCCTCCCCTTCTCTCTCAGCTGACCCCTCCCACTCCGTACCAGGCCCACTGGGAGGGGTGTGGCTAGGGGAGCTGGGTCAGCAGGGAAGACTTCTGGACAAGGAGAAGGGAAGAGAAAAATGCAGAACTAGCCTCAGAAAGAGTTTCTCTGGGGCCCTGTCTCCTGGAATCCAGGACAAATGTCACCCTCGCCCTACCCCAGAGGAGGCAACCTAGTGTCTCCCTCTGGGGGGACCATAGGCAGCCCAAGGTGGACCCCCTCCTTGAGTTTCAGAAGATCTCTTTCTACATGGCACAGTGGGACACTGAGAGCTGGAGGCTGAGCCACATGCACAACAGGTGTGAGTTTGAGCCCAAAGCAGCCCTTGATGACAGCAGTCCCTCTCACCTGCCCAGGTGTGTGGTGGGCACAGCTCTGGGATCTCATTTCTCCAAGGCCTGAGCTGGTGGGACAAGGGTCTACTTAATCTGGGCTGGGGAGACAAGCTGACCAGATAGATTAGAACCTAACATCCTGCTTTTGTACTTCCATCACCCTGTGGGGCTGCAGGTGGCATGGGAAGGGACCAAGTGGAGGCAGAAGGTGAGAGGCCCCAATCACACCTGGAGCCACTCTTCAAGCATTCTCAGACACAGAAGCAGAAGAGATGGTGTCCCCAACTCCTCCCTGGCTCAGCTGCCACCAGTCCAGCCCTGACCCCAACCTCAGTGGGGACCACCTGCTGTGACTCCTGCTGGTCCCCGCTAATGCCAACCTAATTGCCACCTGTCTTCTCACTGTAGCCTTGACTCACTAATGCTGTGGCCTAACCACATCCCCAGTTCTTACTGCCAGCTTTGACCAATCATATCAAGGCCCATTCACACTCACTTAATCCCACCTACCAGCCTAACTCTGACCCCAAATGTAGCCCCAACCCCCTGACCCTGACCCCTTCAGCCAGGGGGAAGTTCAGCTGGGAGCCTGGGAGCAGATCCCAGATCTTTTCTCAGGCCTGTTTATGTAGACTGGATGGGTTTCCCCTTCACACCTACATCTACTCATGGGTACACACATGCCCAATGACATGCCCCATGACTACCCTCAGGCTCCTGGTCTTAAACACAGTCTCAAACCAGTCACACACACTCACACCCGCCATGTGCTGACACTCAGTCACTCTCTTACACTAACCACTCTAGTCCTGCCTGCCCCTCAAGTGCTTCCTCAGTCTGGTGCTGACTGCAGTAATGTGTGCAGCCTTCTGGGGAAAGGCCTCCCCCAAATTCAAATCTGCCTTCCTCTAACAGTGAGGCCCAGAAGTGTGGGTGGCCAAGTGGGGAGACCAAGCCTCTGCAGGAACCCTGTATATTGTGGTCTGGCTAGGTGCAGGGCTGGGCACATGGTCCTGAGAAGGGAGGCCAGGGTATGGGGTAGGCGACATGCTGGGGGGAAGTCTGAGTCACCCTGTCCTAGTGGACAAAAGCCACTTCCTCAGTAGGAACAATGACAGAATGCCCCTTTTCCTCCCTATACTCAGAAAGAACAATGGCAGAACATCCCCAATCACCACTCGCTCCATCCCTCTAAGATCTTCCACTGGCCTTCCGGGTCCCACTGCCAGCCCATAAGGCCCAGGGAACCGCTGCTGTGGCCCCAGCCTGAGCCAGCAGGCACAGCCAATGCCTGAGAACTTCTCTGTGCTGCCAGGGAGTGGGGTGTGGGGGCCACAGGCTGGCCCTAGTTAGAAAAAGGGACTACACTCAGGCAGGGCCCCAGATCAGGGCAGAACTCAGGGCTTGACTTCAATTCACACACACACACACACACACACACACACACACACACACACACACACAGGATGGGGGGAGTCCTTCAGAGGTGAAAATCTAACCACAGATAATCCCCAAAGAAGGCACTCTATAAGAGGCAAGATTTCAACTGAGGCTACCCTCTTTTCTTCACAGCATCAAACTAGCATCTCAGACTGCATAATTCCTATCTTTCATTCCAGAACTCCAAAATTAGGGTGACTGGAATACAGATCACCAGTGACTCATTCCCCCCAAAACCCGGGGGAGCACGCCCTCTACAGAGCCCCATATGGAGGCCAGGCCCTCTCCCGGTCTGCTCCGTTGACAAGGTAGCTACATGGAAGGGTAGGCGGGGTGCGAGGTGGGTGCAGTCACCTTTTGGGTGCTATAGAAGGGGTCCAGGTCCTCCAGGGGCTCTCCGATGAGCTCTCGGGGTGGGTTGCCATAGAGATCCGGCAGCTTTTTGGAGGCCTGCAGGTCCAGCTGGGGGCGGGGCACCTCCTCCTCAGGCAGTCCTTCACGGCTCTCCTGTGAGGTGGCCGAGCCACGGGCTTGCTTCTCCGCCATGCGCTTCTCGATGGCCGCCAGGGACTCCCGTGTGAACCTGCGGAAGCTGCTGGTGCCCCGAGGTAACAGGAAGTTTGCCATCTTCTCATCCTGCTTCTGGGCACAGGCTCTCCTCACGCGGCCTGTGGGGAAGCTGGAAGACATAGACAATGGGTCTGATGCTACCCCCAGGGCCAGAGGGCAGGGTGGCCACGCCTGTTGGGGGTGACTGTGCTGATGGAGGGAAGGACACTGCAAAGATGCTCTGTATTGCCCACTACTCCCCAGGCATACCTAGGCAAGGCTGGCCTGGGAAACCCGGAGCCCTCCAGGCTGTGGGGCACGCATGGGGACCAGCAGGGAGGTCACCCTCCTCTCCCATCCTAACCAGCGTGTCTGGATGCAAGGGTGGCAAGAGCGACTGTGTCATCAAAGTTCCTTCTTTCTGCCCCACTCAACATGAAAGGAAACATTTGCACCTTTTAGTCTCTTGACTGCTATCACTTGAGACACTTCCACAGCTGGGTTGAGGAAGGATGCTCCATGGCGCCTGGTGTTTTTATTTAGTAATTTTAAAAATTATTAATACTATTTTTAAAAATGTGTTCTTTTTTCGTAGAGTTGGGGTCTCACTAGGGTTTGCCCAGGCTAGTCTTAAACTCTTGGCCTCAACTGATCTTTCTCCCGCCTCAGCCTCCCAAAGTGCTGGGATTACAGATATGATCTTACTGTACCCAGCCTGTGGCTTCTTTTTATCCAGATCCCTAGCAGAGCTGGTCCTGAACAAACAAGTGACCGAATGCTGGAGAATGCGCAGGTGAGGAGTAAGGGCGTTAGAAGGTTAAAGGAGAATCACTGTTTCCCCTCCTCTCAAGCCTGTCCCTTCTAGAGGAAGCCCAGGAACCCTATGAGAGAAACCAGAGGCCTCCTAGGCTAATGCCCAAACTCAGGGAAGACTCCTAGCCTGAGTGGAGGGGCCTGAGGGTGAGGGATATTCTGTCTGGTCTCCCCACGGCACCATGTGCTTATATGAGGGAGGGTATCCAGATTTCACTCGTTGACTTGGGGCACAGGAGACTGGTGGGACATCTGTGTTCGCTGCAGGAGACCTACGAAAATCCTGTGGGCTTTTGGAAATAGCTGTATGACACCTTTGGAGTTATCATCCAGATGTGCATACCCCGGTGTACTTAGCTGGGGCAGAGCCCCTGTTGAGAGGATTGCAAACAAACAAACAAACAAAATTCCCTAGAATATGGCATCCTTCCTAAACAATCTGGTTTACTTTCTTGGAAAAATTAAAATACAGTATAAAATTAGCCTGACACTTTAGGTAACTTGAAGACAATTCTTACTCTTCTGGCTGACTTCTGCACCTGCCCCCCATCCCCTTTCAGAATACATACACCCTTACAATTTTTTTTTTTTTTTTTTTGAGTTGGAGTCTCACTCTGTCGCCCAGACTGGAGTGCAGTGGTCGCTCCCGGCCACCGCAGCCTTGACCTGCTGGGCTCCGGCGATCCTTCCACCTCAGCCATCTGAGTAGCTGGAATTACAGGCGCGCGCTACCACACCCGGCTGATTTTTTTAATTTATTGTAGAGATGAAGTCTCGCCAAGTTGCCCAGGTGGGTCTCGAATCCGCAGGCTCAGGCAATCCACTCACCTCAGCCTCCCAAAGTGCAGTATTACAGGCTGAGTCACCGAGCCCAGCTCCCTTACAAATTTTATAACAACCAAATAACATTCTAGCTATACACTGAATTATACCGGAAAAAAAAAAGGGAAATGCTGATGGAGCACTCTGGCTTCCCACACTGCTCCTTGTTCTCCTCCTCCCAAATATAATCAGATGAATGCTGATCCCAAGTGACACCAGAACTGGAAAACAGTGACCACTCATCAACTAGGACATCCAGCCGGCACATGCATGTGACGCCAAACCGGGAGAATGTGGCCCCTGGTGGCCTCAAATGATCCAGAACCTGGTGTGAACATGCTCTGCCTATGACACCGAGGCAGAAGAATGCACTCCCCATTGCTCCACCAAAACAGGATGTGGTCTGAGAGGCTCCTGACTGTGACATCAAGCCCGGAGGCTGCGTCGCTAATTGCCACATCAAACCCAGGAATGGCAGGCACCCGCTCAAGAGGGCAGGGTGGACACCTGCCGGAGATCTCAGCCAGGACAGAATCCCTTGATCTTACTCTTGCAGAACATGTCACCAACGACCTCAATGAGCTGCTGCAGCACTGACGTGACCGGCAAAGGGCCGGGACTTCAGGGCTGCAGCCCCAAGCCTTGTGCATTGCTGTGAAGCAGGCACCTGGCCAAGTGACAGGTAAACAGTGAACAAACACAACACAGCCAGGCTTCAAAAGGGCGACCCTGGTCCCCTGGGGGAAGTGTGGCATGGAATGTGTGAAGGGAGGCAAGACAGAGGTCCAGGACCTGTGCTCTAAAAGCCATTACATTTCCTGTATAGTTTTCTTGTGTCATTCAAGTAAAGTTAAAGGAAACTCTTTGTTAAAAATAGCAGGTGAGGGAGCGGGTTCTCATTTTATAAAAGCTTTTCCCTGTCTCCCTTCCATCTCTGAATGAACAGAGAGACATTTGTAACACCCATCATCTAATGTGAATGGGGATTTTTTTTTCCCCTAGCTGGTAGAAATGTGGGTAATTTAAAACTTTTTTTCTTTGTACTTTTCTTCATTGCTTACATTCTTTATGCATTTGCCTTATTTTTTAAAAAACAGAAACAATGAAGTCATTAGTCTTTTTATTTAAAAAAAAAAAAATTCAAAACCGGTCTGGATGACAGCAACCCCTTGCAGGGTGACCCTCTTCACTGGGAGCAATTGCTAGTTCCATAAATTGGGAAGCCATCTCAGAATTATTTGCTAAAAATAGTGTTCTCCATCTCACTGTACCCATCTGTGTCCATATGCCTGCAAGGTTTCTGAGGACACATGTATACCCATGGACCTGCAGAGGCTCATGGCAGAGGCTCACTGGGGTGTACGTGTGCACGCATGTATGTGTGTGTGTGTGCATGTAAGCTTGCACCTGCACATATGTCTGTTCTAATAAAGGTGTGTTTTTAATTTGTGTTAGGTGCACATAAGTGGATAGGTCGGTGAATTTATACAACTTGAACAAACCTTGCAACTGGCACCTAGACCAAGAAATACATTGCACCCAGGCTCTCAGGCTTAGGTTTTCCTCCAGCCACACACTACTACCCTCTTTTGCCAAGGGAACTGCTCTCCTGACTGCTAGTGGCATGGATTAGTTTCACCATCTATGTAGTTTGGGGGTTCTTAACAGACTCCTTGGAGGGGTGGAAAAAGAATTCAAGGGAGAAATTGTATCTCCTCGTTAATCTCAATCTCAGATTTAGCCTCTCTTTCTATTATGAATATAAGCAACAACACAGAAGTGTTAGCAGAAACTGCAACCAAAAGAAATGGCAGATACTTCCCTGTCCGGTTACAGTTGCTGCTGGTGTCTCAAGTATAATTAGTGCTCATCGTGACTTCAAGATCCTAGTGCTTAGATCCTCCACTAGATCTTATTACTTAAAACTTTAATAAAGTTGTAGTATTATTCACAATAGCAAAAACACGGAACCAACCATGGTGCCCATCAAAAGAAGACTGGATAAAAAAAATGTTTCCTATACACAATGGAATATTAGGCAGCCATAAAGAAGGACAAAATTATGAGCTTCGCAGCAACTTGGATGGACTTAGAGGCTATAATACTGAGTGATCTCGCACAGAAACAAAGAATCGAGTATCACACGTTCTCACTCATAAGCGGACCTTGAGCAACTATCGTAATACTAAAAAAAGGATTGGCAGTATAACGGGAAACTGCCAGAGGAGGCGGGGGAAGAGGGGCACCTTACCAATAAGGGTACCTGCATAATGAACATTTGCATACCTAACCCTGCATTGTACCCCACATATTTAAAATTAAAAATTAAAAAAACTTTAATAAAGAAGCACATATATTGCTATATCAAAAACTGGTTATGTTCTGATAGCTATATTTCAATACAATTGGTTTACTGTTTAAGCCTGTGTCTTCTATTTTGTCTTGAATATGCAACCCGCCTGGGCAGGCTAGACCTCATCTCTACAATAAATAAAAAAAAAAAATTAGCCGGGCATGGTAGCACGCGCCTGTAATTCCGGCTACTTGGAAGGCTGAGGCGGAAGGATCGCCGGAGCCCAGCAGGTCGAGGCTGCGGTGGCCAGGAGCGGCCACTGCACTCAAGTCTGGGCGACAGAGTGAGACTCCAACTCAAAAAAAAAAAAAAAGAAAGAAAGAAAAGAAAGAAATATGCAGTTCTGAGGTGGGCTTCTTTACCCAGCTGGTCGAGAAAGGCTTGGTTGCTGTTCAGGTGCTGATCCTGAGGTCCCCTCCTCTCTACCTCAGCTTCCTCATCTGTAAAGTAAGGGAGGATAAGGTGACCCTCTAGATCCTTTCTGAGAGTCTCTGATGCTCTTACTACGTTCCCCACACAGCAAGTTGCAGCCAGTCTCTTGGCCACCAGCTCTGACTTACCAGGACTCTGCGTGATTTCTGGGTAGGGATGGAGGACGACACAGAAGGCTCTCCCAGGAGAAAGCCGGGCCTTGGGACCCTGGTCTATCCCACCCTTGGGCCTGAGAAATTCCACTCTGAGTTCCACAGTGGCCCTGAGGGAGAGGCAGAGCAACATCTAGGAGCCAGGCCCCAAGACCCAAAAGATGGCAGAGATCACAGGGGCAGGCATCTAGGTTCACATGTTCAAGCACTTCCACAACCTCCCCAGTCTTTTTCACCCCAAATCCTGGTGATAAGGCCCTGGGTCCTAAGAAGGGTCTTATCCTAGCTGCCCTCCAGCAGAGCATCCATGCTCTCGGGACCCTGGTCTGGAGGGGTATAGGCCACCCTGGGGAGCAGCTGATTCCAGATGAAATTCCCTGCTCCCCAGCAGCCAGGCAGCTTCAGGTTCCAAAGTAAACCCATCAAGAGCGTCCTTTGTCTCACAGTGGGCGGGCAGGATCTGTTTTCTCCCTTGTTGTCCTGCTGCCTGCACCTGGCTCTGGCCCTGCCCTTCCTTCAGCAGCTAGGGGCCCACGCCCTGCTGTGACCCAGTCA